CAATGTTTGTAGGAACTTGTGGTCCAATGACCTGTGGCAATACACTAAAAAGGTATTCTATCTGGAATATGTAATTCTTCCGTAACATCACGCCATTCGTCTAAGTCTTGTAACGAATCTTCGCTTTCGCTTTCAATAATTCTCATTCTTCGCCTCTTTGGTAGTATAATTTCGCTACTACTAAAAGTGTCAGAATCTTAACCAACATTGTCTTCCACAATGTCTTTTAACTCTTCAAAATCAAATATGTCTTCGGTATCACTCGACACTAAATTCTCGTCATAATATTTATTTTTCTCCATGTTGCTAACCATAGAAAAGGTCAACAAATGGTTTAATCGTAATGGTACAGACTTGGCACGTTTTAACTACAGATAACAATTGCTAACGCCGACGATAACGTATGCTAAAAATATTTAGCTCCGCAGCGGAGCCTTCGTAGTTACGGAACAAATGACAAATGTCTCCGTAGCGGAGCGCTAAGGGTTAATAATCTCGGACGAGTTGCTTACGGTTCGCTAATCGGCAGGACAACCCTCTGAAAAAAGAGTACGAAGGAGACGACGCGAAGGACATCGAGACGATCCTGAGCAACAGCCACGTGATCTCTCACTTTCACTCGCTGGCCAGCGAGCTGGACATCTGCGAGCCTAAGCTTCCCGAGGACATCTACAAGACTTACGAGGGTAAAGTTCTCGGAAAGTACGAGCCAGACTCGGCTAGGGCCAATCTGACAGCCAGCTTCGTCTCCGGCTTTGTTCACGCTGGCTTCGGCGAGGATAAGCTGATGACCAACGCCGAGGATTGCTGGGTTTACAAGAACAAGGTGCGAGAGACTGACTTATGGCTTACGATCAAGGATCGATGCACGAAACATTTGTTTCTAGGATCACGGGATGTTGTCGGCTACCGCCTCTTTGGGTCTGATTCACATGTGGGACGTGGACGGCGGCCTGGTGCCCATAGACAAGTGAATTTCACTTTCTTTATGCCGTCAATGAAAGCTTGACATGTTGCTTAATGTCTAGGTACCTTTACACGAGCGAGGACTATGTGAAATCCGGAGCTCTACTGGCTATAGGACTCGTTAATTGCGGCGTTCGCAACGAGTGCGATCCGGCACTCGCTCTCCTAAGCGATTATGTGTCTTCGAGCAGCGCGACGCTGAGAATAGGAGCTGTTCTGGGCCTAGGCTTGGCGTATGCTGGCACGGGGAGATCCGATGTCACCCAATTGCTGATCGAAGTCTTGGCTGACAAAGAAAGTGGGTACTCTTGAAAGTGGATTTCTTTGGACTCCAGAAACAGTTTTACAGAATTCATGGATTTGTAGATAACATGGAGGTCGTAGCGTTAAGTGCGATATCCATAGGATTGATCAACGTAGGATCGGCTGATCCCGAAGTATCCTCGATGGTTCTACAAAAGCTGGTGGAGCTAGAGCCGCACGATCTGTCCAACACCTACTCCAGGTTATTAAAAGGAATTTATTTCAGAAGATTGAAGAATTGATGCGGGATGAATTCTTGCAGATTTCTACCACTGGCGCTAGGATTAATCTACATGGGCTGTCGAGACGTGATAGAGTTCTCTTCCGTGGCTCTGGAGGTGCTTCCCAATCCTTACAAACTAGCCTCGCAGACCATGTTGCAGGTATTTGTTGATCAACAACAAAATGCCGTAACTAAGTTTAAAAAAGTACATGAACAGAAGTAGCATGAAATTTGCCAATTACGGAGTTAAAACAGTAATTTGACGGTACAGAAATATTCAGGACACTGTTTTGAGTCTATATCATGTGAAAAGAGTTGATTTATTATTGCAAATATCGAGCACAGATGATTCTTGCCTGCAATACCATAAGAGGCAGTGTTAAAAACGGCACGAATCATCTGTTGCTTAAAATGTTACAGTAGCGCCGTTAGACGTAGTGGCGAGACATTCAGCCTTGTAGACAATTTACCGACTATTCGATTACCATCTAGTGAAACTAAATCGTCGAACAGTTTCAGCGTTTTGCCACTACATCTAATGGCGCTAGTTTGATATTTTAAGCAACAGATGATTCGTGCCGTTTTTAACACGATATCTTATGGAATAAGCGGCAAGAATCATCCGTCCTCGATATTTACAATAATAAATAAGCTTTTGTTACATGATATAGATACAGGAGAGTCTCCTGAACGTTCCTGTACCATCGAAATACTTTTTCGATTCCGTAATTTACATATTCCATACCATTTTCTATAATAAATGAAAGCATTTGAAATGTTTTGCGATTCTAAAATCTACTACATCTTTTATTTTTTAAAATACTTAATTTTGGTTAAAACTGTGTGGAGTGCACAGAAAAATTCACTTTTCAAGGAACTCTTTGTCTCTTGTCAACAATTAAATATTTACGATAGTAAAACAACTTTTTTAACATAATGTAAATTCATTTCTGTATCATCCAAATATTTGTTCAAGCATAAATTGCCTGGAATTGCGGATAATCTGGTTTCTACTGTATTTAATGTCATAGTTAAACCATATCTATTATTTAAATAATCCTAATAGAAATATTTATGTTACCAAATATAACTTGCTGATTTATGAGGAATTGTAAATGCCAAGAAATAGAGTTAACTAGGCATTATAAATTCGCAGTAAATTACAAATTACTGTCTCTAGATATGCGCATACGCTGGCACAGGCGATGTGCTAATAGTGCAAGAGTTATTACGAATTTGTTCGGAACCTGTTGACAGCGACAGTGCATCGATTACTCCGGTGACTAGTTTCACAAGTAGTTGTTGTTCAGGCCAGAAACTTCAGACCTCGGAGACGACAGAGAAAAAGGAGAAGAAGGAGGATCCCAAGTATTGCTCTTCGTTATTGCAATAGACCAGCTTCTTCCCAAACTTCTATACTAATTACTATAAAAATGTTCCAGAGAAATAGGGCCCACGCAAGCCATAGCTGTTTTAGGCGTCGCCATGGTTGGCCTAGGAGACGGCAACGAGAACTCTAGGATCTTCGGACAGGTCTGCTACTTTTCCAGCCATTTTTGAGCCTTCGAAACGGTAGTTGCTCATTTTTAGATAGGAAGATACGGCCCCATAGCCACGAGGAGAGCAATGCCGTTAGCTTTGGGCCTGTCCTCTCTGTCGAACCCTGACTATTCGCTCATGAGCGTTCTGTACAAATACAGTCACGACAACGATCCGGATGTCGCGAGCAATGCGATATTTGCTCTCGGTCTGGTGAGTGCAGGGACCAATCACGCCCACGCTGCTAATCTGTTAAGGCAGTTGATCTGCTATCACGCGAAGAGCCCGACGCACTTGTTTCTCGCTAGGATAGCTCTCGGCCTGGTCCATCTTGGCAAAGTACAGATCATCTGGAAGAAACGAAAAATTTTGTTAAGTACAGCAATAGTAACGCAATGTTAATTTGTAGGGCACCCTGTCCATATCCCCCCTGCGTTGCGGCTCCAGAATTTTGGATCACACAGCACTTGCTGGTCTGATGGTGGTACTCGTGTCCTTCCTAGACTGTCGTAATTTAATCCTGACAAAATCGCATTATCTGATGTACTGCCTGGCCGTCGCGATGGAACCAAGATGGCTGGTCACCTTGGACGAGGATCTCCAAGTGCGTTTTACAATCTGTATTGTAACAAGGTACATCTGTAATTTTCTCTTATCGATGATTAGAGTTTACCGGTACCGGTGAGGGTTGGAAAGGCCGTGGACACAGTGGGCAAGGCTGGGAACCCGAAATCCATCGCAGGTGGTTACGTCCACACTACTCCGGCGTTGCTGTACGTAAACGAAAGGGCGGAGCTAGCTTCCGACGAGTACGAGGCGGTTTCCAGCATGATGGAGGGATTCGTGATTCTTCGGAAGAAGGCTGCTTCCTCTTGACTCTTAAATCTAAGACGCCACGGTGAAGTAAAAAAAAGACGAGACGCATGGTTTCTGTAGGTAATGCTCGGCAGGTAGAGTTTTTATTTCACGATTATGGTAAGAAACACGTCTGACAAAACTGTATTATGCAACCTAGGAACAAAACTGTGGATAATCTATAGATTATGGCAATATCGGGTCTCCGATCCGAGGTGTACAAAGTGAAGACAGCGTCGAGCACAGGGTGGTCCGCCCATCGAATTTCCTTGATCATGAGTCGAACTAGTTTGTGCTTGCAATGTATATTAAAAATCGAATGAATCTTACGGCTAGAAAGATTTCGGAGGACCATCCTGCGCGCTCGAAGTGCAATTTAACTCGCCGCCTCAAGTGTAGCACAAAACTTGTGAGTGAACGACGTGTGAGCATGAGAGACCGGAGAGTGAAAGAAACGGTGAAGGACGCGTGAACGCATGGGTTTCGTGTAGGTTTGCGTTTATTGAACTTCAGGGACTAGCGGAAGCAATGTGCTCTATACAACAGAAACATACATTGGTTCGCATTGCACGGTGTGAACGCAACGGTGCACCATGATCTAACAGTGTGTCACGGTTGGAATCTGCTCGCGATCGGTCGTCGTAAATAAAACGCCTTACATTCGATAAAGAAACAGTGGATGGAGAAAAAGAAACAAAAACAAAAAAAGAAGAGTACCGAAAGCAACGAAACTTGAAGGAATAGAGGCGAGAACAAATGTGTCTCGGCGAGGGAGAACGGAAAGAGTACGAAAAGAACGCGTCGAGGAAGAAAATCGAATACGGACTGTCGGAGAAAAGTCTCGGCAAGCGCAGTTCGCCATTATAGAATCACTGCAAATCAAAGATAAATACTGCAGTTTATTACTTCTGATAGTGTACGTGCGTTTGTGTCTATGAGTGTATACAAAAAAAGCCCTATCCAATCTCCTCGGCGCGTATTTTGCCCACTCTCTCTCTCTCTCGCTCTCCCTCGTTTTTCTTTTTGTTGCTCGCAGAGGGTCGCATACGCAAGATCATGGAGCACGGTGAATCTCCTTATGAAACCAAGCGACGAGATATACTTGCCGGGAATTGCACAAACTCGCAACGTCGGAGCTCCCGCGCCCCCGCAATTCGGTCGAAATCACGCGAAACCAAAGAAACCGATCGAAACATTTAATTTTCCGTAACCCAGTGTTCTCTAACTTAAATTGAAACGCTTTCTCATCCTCGAACCTGGGCCCAGATTCCTTTTCAGGGACGTCTTTTCCTTTAAAAAAATCCTTGACGCAATTAGCACCCACAAAACTACGTAGGACACAAGAAAAAACTTCGGCAGCGCCTTCATAAAATAAAATAAAATAAATCGAACGTGCTTTAACGGCTTTCTTTTTATCTATGTTTGATTAGAAGAATCGACCGGGAACGCGAGAGCTCCATGGACGCCATTTTGGGGGACCGACGACTTTCCTCGCGTTTCGAATGTCTGCCGACATTCACATATAGGCACATGACTTAGGGTAACAGGCGAAGTGTAGTACAGTGATACGCTTATTCTCGGGCCGGTTCGCTTGACAGCGAATCGCGAACGTTCGTTTCCCACCCCCTCCCTTATATCATCGAGGATTCCCGAGACGATTGCGTCGATACGCTCGCGTAGCCAACGCGACTTCTCGAGATCGCTCGAAAACCCGGTCTACTTCAGCGTACGCCTTTTCTCGCTGTCTCAGCTTGCCGCCTGACGTATACAACGTCTTTTCATTAAATATCCTAGCTTCCCTTCGATTCTATCTATCCACGGGTGGATATACTTTTAGGATTACTCTTGAACAACCATCGCCCGCACTGCAGAGCGATTCCGTGTAGTCAATATGCAGATATAGAGACAGATAAGAGGATCGTCGTTATGCGACGCGTTTCCTACTCCGTAGACGTTGTTTGGCAGACAGAGAAAATAAGTTAAACGCGAGAAACGGAGATCGAATTCCGCGCCGGAGATCGATGAAGGGAACATCGACTTTGAAGAACGGGATTAACGTTTTTCGAAGTTGACATCCCGGTGAAACTCTCCAAATTTCTTCCTAGCTTATACTACGAATTAGAAAACGCAGCGCGCGACCCATTAACATTTGATAAAATAGAGAATCAGCATGCAAAATCGTCGATATATGATCCACGTCACCCGGCAAGCTGGGCTTCCTATCTACTTATACGATAAAGTTCTCATGTTGCTTATAGTAAAATATAATAATAATAATAATAATAATAATAGTTAAAAATTAATAATAATAATAATAATGACAGTTCATATAATAATAGCGCTTTCGTGTAATAACCTTTTTTTTTGCAAATAGTAAGTGTGTCTGTGGTTCAAGCGAATTCCGAAAACGGTGTACACCGTTGCCTCCCCTCGCCTCTATCCGCAATGCGGTGATTTATGTACAAGAACGCACGCGGTGGATCGCGAGTATTTGCATCGTCCCGTTCCCTAATTCCCTATTTTGCTTGGCAGGGTTCGTACAAGATCGTACGCGCGCGCGCGCGCGTGCACGACGATCCTCGACGTTGATCCGGAGTCATCGGAACGGAAAGAAGAAGAAACACGCTCGCGTTCACCGAACTCCCCGAAAATATTCTACCCATTTACCGTTTCCTCGGCGCGACAACAAAATCATGGTCGCGGGAGGTCGGATTACAAGCTAGATGCAGGAAAGATACGTCTCTCTCTTATTCTCCTAGACGACACACCTGTGAACATATTACTGTCGCTCGTTCAAATTCTATCAACCTCGGCTCTCTCTCTCTCTCTCTCTTTCTCTCCCTCTCTCACTCCGCGTCGACAGCGATCGGTAATCAAGGACTTCTCTCCCGTTTTCGGCTACTTTCAACGGCGCTGGCCCGCTAAATCACAGAAAAACGGAGACAACGACAGCAACGATTCCCCCGGGAGAAGCACCGAAATCGCACAGGTGCGACGAGGGCGAATGATCTCGTCGCATATTGGTCGGAGCTGCCTGCGGGCTCGTTGCCGAGAGAACGAAATTGACGACAAATGGCAGTGCTTCTTCTGTCTGCGCGTGGGCGTGTGTGCACGTGTACCGACGTGTGGCCGCGTGGCAACCGCGAGCCCACGATTCCTCGAGGACCGTTCCGGCCGCGTTCGCGGCGCGGTCCGCGATCGATGGATCGTCCCGGGGCGATCCGCGGTGTCCTGATCCGGCCGCCGCGAGCCCAAGGAATGTACACTCGATACCAAGGTGACACAGTCGTGACACGGCGGAGATAATATGCCGAACGCTTACGGCGAGCAAGGCTGGTTAAAACAGTCGGGCGCGTCTTTTTATCTCGTTGCGGCGCCACTGCGGCAGTCTGTAGAACTCCGCGCGGCCGCACTGCAGGACTGCCTCGAACTCCGCGTCTGAAAGGTGTCGCTGGAAAAGTCAAAAAACACATTCTCAGATTTCTCGATTCCGATCCGTCGGCGTTTCCCGCGTGACGAAGCGCGAGAAGGAGAATTCTATCGCTGGAGGGATTTCGCATCAAATCCTTCCGAAGATCTAGCAACTTCGCCAAGAAAAACTCGAAGACATTGGGTGGTTTATTCGTCGCGAGAGAGAAAAAAAAGGGACATCGCTTGACCATTGTAGATGATGCCGTACAAAACAATCAACGATCAGGTCGTTACGTTTTAATTCCTGTTCGCGATGAGAATCGGTTAAGGGTCGAAATCCCGTAGCCTTGGACAGGTAATGAACCAGCTGGTCGGTATGTATTAGGGTGTCCCATAAGTTCTTTCCTTTTTTCTGATGCGAAATGATTACACGATATTTGTTGTTTAAGGTCGATTTATTGTGTTATATATGAACCGTTCTGCTCTATTACCTTCTCCCATCTTTCAAGATTACCTTTTTCCATCTTTCCAAGATTGTTGAGGCTTATTTGCAAAATATTGATCAATGTGCGTTTTTATTTCGCTTACGAACTTAAACCGTTTTTCACAGAGAGAATTTTTTCACGAGAAGAACAAGTAATAATCGGATAGAGCAATGTCTGGGG